GGGTATCAATATATAATTGGAATTCATTTAAATTCACAAGGAATCATCATTGACTTAAGTTTAAATTCCACTTCCTTTTTTTTCAGCAAAGCTTAGTAACTAGTACTCAATTATAAAAAATATTTTCTTATTCATAATTAAAAAAAAATGGGCTTCCAAAACTATATTTGATTTGTTTGGTAATTGAGACAATAATTACACTGAAAAGCATTAGCAGTTGAATTGAATTAATTTCCAGAATATTAGCTACACTGCTCGAGCTGACAAATGAGAATACAATACTTTCTCTGATATGTATGAAATATATTTTTGCCATTTTGTAACCAATATCAAACCACTGTTAATAAAGGAATTTGTTTTAATAAAAGCATTGGTTCTCTATCTTGTATATTCTATGGAAAGCAATGCAATGTGATCAAATTTCTCCGGATAAAATATTTTACGCCAGTAGGCACTATTTTTAATATGAGAGCTATTTCTTCTTATTTAATTATATCTTTAAGATATAGTGGCAGTATTACAACTACAGATTACCTTAATGTTCAGAGGTCAATATTAGGCTAATAAAGGGATAATGAAGAACAAAAGCAGTGAATCTTGCTTTTTCTCAAGTATTGTGTCCTCTTTGCAACAATGCAGAGAAAATAAGCAATGTTGTAAATTATACTAGTAGCTCTCAATCACCCAAAATATTTTATGAGTAAGAATAGATATGGAACAAAATACCCTTATTTCCATTCAACATTAAGGGAGATAAGTTGGCCAAGGCTAGCAAATGTTTCCAAGGCAGAAAGAGTAGCTTACCATTGTTCCTTGAGCTCAGATTTATAAATGAATTAAGACACAACTTTCATTTAATGATGATAGAATATGGATATGTGGGATATCGCAAGTTTTGTACCTCTCCCTGTTTAACATCTGTTGGGTAACTTTTATTGCCTCGGAGTGAAGTATCATGTGCTCATGAAAAATAACGAGATAGCCCCACCCTGGCAATGCTGTTGATGCCAGGCTTCAAGTGTCTAGAAAAGGAAACAATAGGTTTCAACTGAACCTTGGCAAAACTGAGTGGGTTTAAACTTTGTGCTTCTGGATCTGGGACTTTACCATCTTTGTTACTAGAGTTACTTCAGACAGACATGATTGCACAATCTGGGGGTCCTTCTAGACTCATGACTACTGCTTGAGGAAGTGGTAATCTGGTTAGGATGGTCTTTGTACATATTTGTGTTTTCTGGATCCTGAAACTCTGCTCATAGTCACTCATGCCCTGGTCATTTCTGAAATGTGCTGTATATAGCACTGCTCTTGAAAAATATCCAGAAGCCTAAAATCAGTGCAGAATGTGGCTACACGCCCCTAGGTTGTGTCAATCTTCCAAGTAGACAAGGAAACATGACGAGTTAATTCTACTTTATTATATGGCTACATAAACAGATCTTTTTAATCTGAAAATCCTGCCTCCTGCCATCTCTTCACATAATTTTATTTTTTTAAAGTTTTTAATAGCTGTGCCATTTTAATTTGTTTTAATGCTTCCCAGAGTTATATTCAGTGAGATTGACAGCCATATCAATTTGTTACATAAATAATTGTAGATCTGCCTATAGAACTATCTCTGAGTATGACAGGTTTTACTGTCTAACTACATTATTTAGGAGATCAGTACACTATTTATTTAAACTTGGATACTTAGAGGTAAGCATATGTGTTTTTAAATATGATATATGATTGATGTTAGTATGGAGGACAAGTTCAAAACTTGCCTAAAATGACAATATCTTGGCCAATTTAGTACACTTACAAACATTCTAGTATTTTTTCCCTTATGGCTATTTTTATGTGCCCATACATATAAAGTATAACACTGCATTTGTGTAAAATATTTTATTTTCAAGTGTACTAAAACTTTTTCTCCTAAAACTTATACAGGTAGTCTTGATTTACAACCATTCATTTAGTGAGTTTTCGAGGTTACAATGGCACTAAAAAAATGACTTATGACTGTTTTTCGTTTCATATAAATTTTATTGAATTTACAATTAAAAAAATAACATAACAACATTACATAAGAAACAGAGAGAGAAAAAGAAGAAAGAAAGAAGAGAAAGAGAGAGGAAAAAAAAAACAAAAAAAAAAAAACCGCT